GAAAACGGTACACGTGCCCATTGTTGGAACAGGGGTATAAGTCGTATACTAAGCTAGTTTCCACAAGATGTTACCACAAGAAGTCATTGTAACCATGCGCCAGTGTAGTAGCCAAGGTCGTCCGCAGGCCACGAAGTGAAGTGTCCGAACGTCATAGGGCGGGAAGCTGGGTGTGGGTGGTGGCGAAGAGTCGTTTGGAAACTTGGTAGAGCTTGAACCGGCCCCCCCACAAAGTGGGGGTATTGCCCGCCTCCTATGAAAACCCTGGCACTGGTGAGAACGGAGTGTCCCCAGTCTTAAATGATTGTTGTTGTTGTTGTTGTTGCTGCTGTGGTTGTTATTGTTGGTGTTGGTGTTAGTGTTGGTGGTGTTTTTGTGGTTGTGTTTGTGTTTGTTGTTGTAGTTATTGTTGTTGGTGGTGTTGTTGTTGATGGACACTCACTTCTGAAGAACAAGTGGCAAGCGAGCCCTGGTTCTTGCACAAAGGAGGGGCGAACCACCATAAACCACTGCCGAAATAAAGGATTCCGCGGCCCAGGGGGGCTGCCCTGGGAAGCCTGGATGGAGGAAGGCTCCCAAAGGGGGGTGGCCCAGGGGAGCTGGGACTCAGGCTCAGGGGGGGGGGGCGAGGGGGACGAACCACCACGAACCACGACGAAAATAAAGGGTTCCGCGGCCCAGGGGGGCTGCCCTGGGAAGCCTAGACGGAGGAAGGCTCCCAAGGGTGGGTGGTTCAGGGAAGCTGGGGCTCAGGCTCAGGTGGGGGCCGAGAGGGACGAACCACCACGAGCCACGACGAAAATCAATGGTTCCGCGGCCCAGGGGGGTTGCCTTGGGAAGCCTGGACGGAGAGGGGGTCCCAACGGGGGGTGGCCCAGGGGAGCTGGGGCTCAGGCTCAGGGGAGGGGCCGAGGGGGACGAACCACGACGAACCACTAACCTCGACGAAAATAAGGATGTCCGTGGCCCAGGGGGGGCCCAAAGGGACGAACCACCACAAACCACTACCAAAATAAATGATTCCGCGGCCCAGGGGGGCTGCCCTGGGAAGCCTGGGCGGAGGAAGGCAACCAAGGGGGGGTGGACCAGGGGAGTTGGGGCTCAGGCTAAGGGGAGGGGGTCGAGGGGGAGGAACCACCACGGAACACGACGAAAATACAGGGTTCCGCGGCCCAGGGGGGGCTGCCTCGGGAAGCCTGGACGGAGGAAGGCTCCCAAGGGTGGGTGGTTCAGGGGAGCTGGGGCTCAGGCTCAGGGGGGGGCCGAGGGGGACGAACCACCACGAGCCACGACGAAACTAAAAGGTTCCGCGGCCCAGGGGGGCTGCCCTGGGAAGCCTGGGCGGAGGGAGGGTCCCGAGGGGGGGGGAGCCCAGGGGAGCTGGGGCTCAGGCTCAGGGGAGGGGCCGACGGGGACGAACCACCACGAGCCACGACAAAAATATAGATGTCCGAGCTCTAGAGCACAGCTGTGCAAGATAATACTTATTGTTGTTCCCGTCCATCCGGTGCACATTTGTTTTTCGATTGAAGTGCCCTTCCCGGGGCTCGCATTCTGTTTTTTTATCCGGGAAAGTCTTGAGGGTCAAACCGTGTCGTTGGCCCCCGGTTTACAAAAACAAAGGCTCCCGCTTGAGACTTCTTCACAATTGATTGAAGAATCGCGCTCTCGCTTGGGAATTCCTTACAATTTACCACCTGATCGCGGCTCCCGCTTGATACTTCCTCACAATTTATTGAAGAATCGCGCTCTCACTTGGGGCTCACGCGTTCCTTTCGACACCTCTGCAGTTCTCATTTTCCTTCCGCCCCACTCTCCCAACATCCCGCTTCTTTTCAGGGTTCCACGAAATTTGTTTCTGACACCAGTTCGCAGCTGTGCGTCCCCCCGTGTGGGTATTCACGTTTTGTTCTTTCAAGAGGGTGGTACGTGGCGCTGTTGATGGCGTGACCCATGGCGAAACATATTGTAAACTTGTGTTGGAGTGGCTGGCGCAAGCTGAATCGCCACTCGCAGCGCAAATCATCGTCCTTCCTCTTTCTTGCCCTTCCCCTCCCTTCCTCCGATCCCTTCGTCATCACTATCCCAGGTTATATGTTACCCTTCGTTTTCAAGGGCTTCATCAACCACGCGTGGCAGGGAATGAATCTACCCCCCAAAAGGGGGCACGATCGAAGACGAAGAGGGCGGGTACCCAGGGTTTGGGATATGCATATTGAATGACACAAGAGCATATATGGGCGAACAGTCTGAACATGATTGTTGTTGTTGTTGTTGTTGTTGTTGTTGTTGTTGTTGTTGTTGTTGTTGTTAATGTTGTGGTTCATGTTTTTGTGGTTGTTGTTGTTGTTGTTGAATTTTCATTTCTGAAGAATAGATTGCTGATCCCCCCGCGCCAGTGCATATTGTTTTTTCTAAATCAAAGTGTGCCCCTCGACGCTCGCACCCTGTTTTTTGACAGGGAAAGTCTTGAGGCTCAGACTGGGCCCCTGGCCCCTGGGTTACAACGACAACGGCTCCCGCCTGAGCTCTCTTCGCAATTTAGCCAGGATCCCCGCTCCCGCCTGAGACTTCCTCGCGTTTTATTCAGGAATCGCGCTGTCGCTTGGGATTTCCTTACAATTTATTCCGGAATCGCTTTCCCGGCGCTCTGGAGTCGCGCTCTCGCTGAAGATCCGCTTGCAATTTACTGAAGAAGAGCGCCCTTGCACTTGGAATGTCTTGCAATTTGCTCAAGCGCCGCGCTCCCGACACCCAGGCACCCAGGAGGCGCGCCCGGTGTGGCCCCATGTGCATGCCCTTCGTGGCCCCGCTGTCGCCGGTTGTGGACCCCTCACTGTCCTACGTGGCCCAGTTGCTACCCTCAGTGGCCCCATCGTTGTCTTCAGTGGCCCCGCATTATTTGCCCTTCGTGGCCCCAGCTTGTTCGCGCTTTTCGTGGCCCCGTACGCATTCCCTTCGTGTCCCCGCTGTCGCCTTGCGTGGCCTACTCCGTGTCTTTCGTGGCCGTGCTGTCGTTCTCTCTCGCTCTCGCTTTCGCTCGTCGTCGCCGTCGTCTTCGACGTCGTCGTCGTCGTGGTCGGTCCCCTGTCCGTCCCTCTTGGGGTCGGGTCGACGGTCCGCGGCCGCCCCGCCGATCAGCGCTGACGCTGGCCAAGCCGACGGTCCGCGGCCGCCCCGCCGCCTGCCCGGGCCCGGCCTGCAGGGAAGAAAGGTATACCCCCCAAAAGGGGTTCGATCGAAGACGAAGGGGGCGGGTATCGAGGGTTTTGGAAATACGCGTTATTGGGCACTCGAGCAGATAAGGGCGAACAGTCTTAAAATGATGTTGTTGTTGCTGTTGTTCGTTTGCCTTTCCGCTCGCATTGATTTGCACGGGTGGACGCTCATGTGTTTGTGCAATTCTTGTTCAATCCAAGTATACGTTCGTAGGTGTGTTTGCTTGTGAGACGATGGGGGGCCTGGGCCAGCTAGAACATATATGGAATCGCGGAATGCGCGCGAATGGTTCTAGAGTCTCTTCCTTTTTGTTTTCTGTCTTTCTCTCTCTCTCTCTCGTTCTCTCTTCTCTCTCTCTCTCTCTGTCTCTCTCTCTCTCTTTTTCTCCCTTTCTCTCTCTCTCTTCATTTCTCTCTGTCTCTCTCTCTCTCTCTCTTTCTCTCTCTCTCTCTCTTTCTCTCTCCCTCTGTCTCTCTATGTATAAAAGACGCACTAGTACGCACTACATACATATAGATGTTATCCCTGGGAGTCAGGGGAGAGGCCTCCCTAGCGTAGACACCCTTTCGCTCATGGCGGTGCTCTGCTTCCTGTGCGGGAGGGGGGGCTCTGGGCTCCTCAGGCGGGTCCTGGGCAGTCTGATGCCGCGGGAGACGACACGCCAGAGCGATCCAAGAGCTTCCCCGAACGTTCGCGTGACTGCGAAGATCGCCCGAGGACAGACCCGCAGTTCCAGAACTACCCTAGGATAGCCACTAGAGAGCCCCAGAAATAACCCCCAGCTGGCCAACATCGGTCCAAAGTCTGAGGGCTTCCTTGGGTTGCGCTGCACCTCTGTGGTTCTCAACGTTTCGATCGAAGATGGCCCCACTGGGGGCTCGCAGAAGCCAATGAGCGGCTACAGGAGCTCCCGAAGGCCCCAAGACGCTCCCCGAGGCGTTCTCAACATCCTCCAAGACAGCTCCCGGACCATTCAAGGAGCGCAAGACCGCCCAGGAGGCCTCAAGAGCCTTCAGAGTTTGTTTCCTCATTGGTCTGCCACCGGGCAGAGCCTGGTCTTCGGCATGTCGAATGGTGACCTTCGTGTGATTCGTACCGCATTGAATGTCTCATGCAGCCAGTCGGAGCCATGCCAGCCTCGAGCAGTTACCGCTAGTTCCCTTCCGTCCTGCTCATCGTGCTTGCGATGACCAGCTCTACCTCTGACAAGAGGCCCGAGTAGCCTTGGTTACGGCAAGCCAGATTCCAGGAGGAGGGTCACGCCGCCAGTTGTGCAAGGGTGATTCCATCCGCGCTCCGCGGAGCCACATTGTGGAGCGGGCCATGCGGGCCGCTCCAGTCGCGGGCGACGCGTCGTGGGATTCCACGGCTCGCGCGCGTCCTCTCTCGCTCCCTCCTTTTCAATTTCGCATTCCCCGTCTCCCGATCGTCCAGCTGCCTGTAGCAAGTCCCGCGGCCGTGCCAGCCTAGCACCTTGGGTGGCGACTGTTCGGGGGGGTGCGCGCAGGAGGCAGTAACAGGTGGCACCTGTTGCTTCTAGGCTCGGAAGAGCCGCAACATACGACGCACTCCTCCGCGTCGCGTCGGGGGCCCTAATCTGGTCTGCGTCGTCTCCCTCTCTTTCTTCCGTCCTTTCTTGGGCTCCTTCGGGGCAGTCATGGGTTCCCTCGGGCCACGCTGGGCCGTCTCTGGGGCCCCCATGGGCCGTCTCGGGATTCTCCTGGCCCGTCTTGGAGTCCTCTTGGCCAAGTGGGGTGCCCCCCGCCCTCTCCGCCGAGGAGGTGGGCCCCACGCCGAAGAGGGAGAGAGGGCGCTGCTGCATGTCGCTCCTGCGCATCCTCGTGGCGGCGGCGGCGTCCGCGATGCTGGCGGATCACTACGTCAGGCTGGCGGTCTGCAAGCCGGCCGTGGATGCGTTCGCGTCCCGGCTGGCCGCCTCGGACGTGGAGCGCCAGGCATTTGGGCTTCCCAGATGGGGTCCGAGTAGCTGGGGCCGAAGGATCGCGCCGTATCGTCGATGCATCGGCGATGCGGCTCGATCTGGAGCCCGATGTTCTGCGCGCTGGCGTCGCCGATGCATCGCCGATACCGCTGATGCAGCGGCGATGCGTTGCCAATGCAGCGGCGATGCATCGCCGATGCATCGGCGATGCGGCGCGATCCTCCGACCGCTTCTACTCTGACCCCGTCTGAGAGGCCTCCAAAGGCAGCCGGCGGGAAGCACTACGATCAACAGGGGGACGGCACAGATCGGGAGCGAAGACCCGCAGCCGTTTTTGCCCGCTGCACGGGGTGCGTGGCCGGCGTCGCCGCAGACGTGGTCCAGTGGGGCCAGAGGCCGTCTGCCCAACAGTGGCGGCGCTCGGCTGTGGACAGCGTTCGCTGTTGGGCATCGTCCCCGCTTGTTTCGTACCGTTTTCGGGCTTTCAATAGCAGGGGGGGCGGTGAGTCTGCGGAAAGTCTGGAAAAATTGCATTGTGGAAGAAACACACAAACACACAGACACACACGCACACATACATTGTGGGACAAATATCACAGTCTTTCGAACACACACACACACACAGATATCTACGTCAGCCACGCAAACCTTCGCACAGCTCTCGCTCTTGAGGGCCTCTTGGAAGCCGCTGCGCCACCTGCCGGAAGATAGGCCCCGATCTCCTCCTCAGGCTGGGTGGCGTGGGGTGTGCGCACGCTCGCGCCCGACGCCTCTGCGGAAGCAAGGGTTCTGCGGAAGCAAGGTCTCCACAGGGGCATGGAGTGAAGTCCGGCGTGTCCCTCTACAGGAATAGTATTCAAAAGTAGTGAAAACATTGTATGGGGACGATGCTATGATTATTTGTTATATTATTTTGGATGTGTTCCGCATTTTTTCATTTTTCGTCCAAAATCCGCCTGTAGGAGGACATGCCCGACCTAAGCATGGAGGGATCACGCATATGGAGGTTCCACCTCTGGCGCAGGCCTCCCGGGGACTGGCCTCTGGAGGCCCCCTTCGACCTTGAGAGGCGCGCGTAGAGGCGCGCCAGCGCGCGCGCGTGTTGCAAATGCCTTGGAGGTGGAGCGTCAGGCCGACTGACCCGTTCCAGAGCCCTCTCAGAGCGTTCTTCAGGGGCAACGTTAGGGGGGGATAGGCTCATGAGGGCTCTCTCATCGCCGAGAGGGGCCCGACAGCCCACGCCGCCTCGGAACGTGCGCTTCCCTTGCCGGCGGCATGTCGCTGACCGATCGGCGACGTATCGCCGATTCCAGGTCGATGTTAGTGAGCTTTTTTGTTCATTCGTGTGCCGATCAGCGCGGGCCCTCGCACCCCCTCCCTCCTCCCGCCCCATGGAGTAGATCTTGGCTGTTTTTGGCGCCTGTTTCGAGCAGGTGGAGTCCCTCCCCCAAAGGAAACTGTGTTGCAATCAGTCGCACGAAGTAGAGGTCCAGAGCCAAACCCCCCCTCTCCGCCCAATGTCGAAACTCCGAATAAGAACACGCTCACGTTTCCACAATGAGCTGGTCCACCCCTGTCGTTGCCCCTCAGTTCTGGTCCGTGCCGCGGCCGCCGCGCCACTTGTTGCCCCCCCTTGGGCCTTTGGAAGGCTTTTCGGGGATGCCGGGGTATCAGGACTGTCTTGTGGGGTCTTGGAGATGTGCAGGGCTCGCTTCGATTCCTCCGATTCGATTCGATTAGACTTCGATGGTTTCCGATTTCGATTCGATTCGATTTCGGATTCCGATTTGGGATCCGATTTCTGACTGGAGGCCTACAAGCCTGCCGATGTCTGCCGATTCAACTTTTCCCCACTCGGCTGCCGGTATCCGTCGATCCGATTCATGTCGATCGCCGATCCGACTTGTCGATTCGATTCTGGGCTCGCCTGGATGTGGGACGTCGCCAGGCCACGCTGTATTGTCGTGGCGCCATCACGGGGGGTAATCGTTGGTTCGCTTCGGGGGGTCGTCCGTTTGAGACAGGCTGGGGCCGTTGGCAGACCAACCTGGGCCGGCACGGAAACGGAAAGAGCGTTTAAGAAATTCTAGATGTTTCGCGTAACCCCACCAGCCCATCCAGAAACGATGCCCAGAGGAATTGCCTCGATCAGGGAAGTGGACAGCACATGGAGGAAGGGTCCCCCAGTGGAGGCCCTATGGAGCGTCTTGGGGGCCTTGTGGTGGTCCTGGACGCCTCTTAGAGCGTCTTGGGTGCCTCAGAGAGCTTCTTGGGCCCTCTTGGGGGTCTCTTGGGAGCCTCTTGGAGGCCTCTTGGGCGCCTGTTGGGCCTCCTGGGGCCTCCTGGGCGCCTCTTGGGGCCCACTTGAAGCGCTCTCGGGAGCCTTGGGCGCGCTCTTGGGGCCATCTTGAAGGACATCGATCAAACAAGAGGGGAGCAGCAATCAGCGTTGCCTCTCGGGAGCCCTAAAAGTCGCCTCTTGGGGCGCTCTTGGGGCCGTCTTGGGGCTCTCTTGGCCTCTCTTGGAGCCCTCTTGAGCCATCTTGGAGCCATCTTGAGGCCTCGGATGGCCATCGGAAGCGAAAGGGCGAGAAGCCAAAAACATTGTTTTTTCAACATTGTGACGGCAGCCCGGATGGGCTATTCGATCCCAGCCGATCAGCCGATCAGCCGATCAGGCGCCTACCAGCCGATCAGCCGATCAGCCTTATCGGCTGATCGGCTGGTCGGCGCCTGATCGGCTGATCGGCTGATCGGCTGGTCGGCGCCTGATCGGCTGATCGGCTGATCGGCTGGTCGATCGCTGATCGGCTGATCGGCTGATCGGCTGGTCGACCGCTGATCGACTGATCGGCTGCCGTCCAGTTCCCCTTGAGACATCCTCGCAGCTCCGGGCTCAGAGGTCTCCTGACCCGAGGTGGTCGGGCCAGTCTCGCCTGCGACATCTTCCTGTCTTTGGGTTCGGAGATGCCCCGCACGAGGTGGTCCATCCAATTCCGTCTGAGACCTTCTCGCAAGTCCAGGCTCAGAGATCCCCTGACCTGAGGTGGTCGGGCCAGTGTCGCGTGAGACATCCTCGCAACTCCGCGCTCAGAGGTCCCCTGACCTGAGGTGGTCGGGCCAGTTCCGCTTAAGGCATCCTCGCCACTCCGGGCTCAGCGATCCCCTGACCTGAGGTGGTCGGGCCAGTCTCACGTGAGACATCCTCGCAACTCCGGGCTCAGAGATTCCCTGACCTGAGGTTGTCGGGCCAGTCTCGACTGAGACATCCTCGCAACCCCGGGCCCAGAGATCACCTGACCTGAGGTGGTCGGGCCAGTCTCGCCTGAGACATCCTCCCATCTTTTGGCTCGGAGATGCCCCGCGCGAGGTGGTCCGTTTCCTCGCTCATTTCTCTACTCTCTCTCTTTCTTTCTATCTCTCTCTCTCACTCTGTCTCTCTCTCTCTCACTCTATCTCTACTCTCTCCTTTCCCTTCAATTTAGTTATCCTCGTTCCTTGTCGTCGTCGTTGTCGTAGCGTCCGCTTTTCTTCCGAACACATTTTTGCTCGAGATCTTCACGTCGATACATCGATTTTCAATTCCATTCCACTTCTTACATATCTAATGGCCTTCGGCTCATCCCGCCACCGTGCCTAGGCTGTGGGGGCCCCGTGGTGGCCTCTTGGGTGCCTCTGGGGGTTTCCCAGGGGCTTCTCGGGGCCGAGGGCTCCAATTGTCCGTTCGGATTCCCCGTTGGGGCGTCCTCTGGGATCCGTCTTCGGCCTCTCTTGGGCCGTCTTGGTGGCCTCTTGGGCCGTCTTGGTGCCCTCTTGGGCCGTTTTGGAATCTCTTGGAGATCTCTTGGGGCGACAGATTGGGTTCGGGACCCGAGTATACGCCCATTCCGTGCAATGGCACGGTGGCAGATTCTGGCGTGCCTACCGCCGTAGGCCCTTCCAGCTGCGAGGGTGCATTCGGCAATTGCCTACAGCAACCAATCGCCTACGGCAACCCCCGCCGTTGCGTACAAGGAGGGGGGGAGGAGGCACGCGCCAGGAGGACGCAAGGGTAACGTCAGGAAAGGGAGGCAGCGAGTGGAGAAAACGAGATTCAAGTTGGAGCAGTGAGCAAGTGGATGGCCAGGACAGGAGAGTGAGGAAGTGGAAAGAGGAGGAGGAGGAGGAGGAGGAGAAGGAGGAGGAAGAGGATGAAGATGAGGGAGAGGGGGAGGAGGAGGAGGAGGAGGAGGAGGAGGAGGAGGAGGGGGAGGAGGAGGAAGAGGATGAGGAACAGGAGGGGGATGATTTTTGCACCACGCCCTACTGGCCTACCAGGGGCTTAGTTATCGGATTGCTACAATCCGCAGCCCATGACAGCTCCGAGCAACAGCGACGTCGCGGCTTGGCTGACGTCCGGTGATGGGGCCAGCGCTGGACCCCTCCGTGACGACTACCTGAAGGTAGTGGCGGGCCTTGGGCAAAGGCCATTCGATTGCCTGCGGCAATTCCAAGCCCTGTGCCAGCGTAGCGGGAGCTCTCGTTCAGTAAGCTGCCCTGCCAGACAACCCCAAAGGCTCCCGACATGCCCGGCCATGAAAACAAACATGGTGACGGATTGCGCCGCATGTCCACATCGTATGGCGCGTCACGGAGAGACGAAACTGGAAGCGAGCGCTCGACGCTGAGCTTGGCGCTCGCCCTGAAAACGGCGATTCTGGAGCGCGCCGTCGACCAGTACCAGGATTTCCTTTCGAAGACTCACGCATCCACAGCAGAGAGGTATCCATTTCTCGGCTGGCTCTGCAGTCCACGCCTGGGCGGGAAGATCACTGGCAAATCTGATGCGCAGCGGTGCCGGGAGCTCGACCTCAGTTGCGCCGCGTGTCGGGCTCTCGCTGCGTTCGAACACCCGGGCCAAACCACTCACAAGAACGACCAGACATGCATTTACGGCGTGGCGTTGTCGGAGGACGCGATGCGAAACGCCATCAATCCAGCTAGAAAGAAGAGGCCCGCGTGGGTTGATACCCA